CTCAGCTCCTGCACAGCCTGTGTCCTGCTCCCACACAGCCCTGGCCCTAACCCTAACCCTAACCCTAACCCTAACCCAACCCATACGGCCTTACCCAGGGGCCCAGGAGGCTGTGGACATTTGGTTAACAGAGCTGAGTGCAAAGGGGCGAAAGTGGTGGCGATGGCCAGGAAGGGCAGCACACACAATCCCCTCCTTCCCCTTCCACCCAAAGCAGACCTTTCTCCATGGCTTGGCCCCAGCGACATGGGTGGGACACCAGCCTCTTTCTTTCAGCCTTGGCCCAACATTCTGGGTTGGGAACATTCTGTTCAGGGACTTCAATTCGTCATATGTGAGGCAAGGGGCACCTCCGTATCCCCCCTTCGGCAGGGGCAGCCCTCCCTGGCAAGATTCCCTAGGACCTCGCCTGGGTCAAGACCCCTCCTGGGCCCGCCCCACCGCTTCCAGCCCTGACGCCCTGACACCACCTGGAGGACCACCTCTCTGGCCCTCTAGTGGCCACCTCAGGTAACTGCATGGAACTGTCCATGGGTGTCCTGCCTCAGTAAGGCTCCTGAATTATTTTCCCATAATAGTCTTAACTCACAGTTCCATCACCTGAACATCGGTGGCTGCTCCCTATGGTTGCTGGAGGAAGGGACATGACCTGGCGCCTCGTGGGTTCCCTCCAGGATTGACTGTGCAAGTGAGTGACGATCACACTTCACAGGTTCCCAAACCTGCTGCCACCGCTGTTACAGGTGCATCATGGCGGCCCTCCTCTCAGTGCATCTGGAGAGGTGACTTAAATGCACTCAACATGACTACCCTTAGCCATAATCACACCGTAACCTAACTGCATCTGATGTCAGCCACCGTGGCCTGTCTCCACCCTGAGGCACCTGGACCTGGATGTCAGGGGAGGCCACCAGCACGCCACGCTGTGGGTGAGAAACCCGTCTTGAAGAGTCCACGTGCCCTGCCAAGTTCACAGCTTCCACTGCACTCATGGTCCCCACATTGCGGCCGGGCAGGCCGCCTGGCAGAGTTGGCCCAGGAGAGTGGTCCGCTGCACCCCTTCTTCCTAAAGGCAAGAGCAGGTCTCCATATAGAGAAACAGGGGTCTGAGGAAGGAGGCGCCCTAAAAAGCCACAGCAGCTGCTGCCAGCCTCCTCCACACAGAGTGGAGGGGACCCCTGCCCTCACACTCACGGCCACAACTCACCCTCCTGGCCCCACGTCCACGTGCTGCTCCACTTGGCCTGTGACATTGCGGAACCACGGTTTTAGCAGTTCCCTTAGATGAGTTCCCTAACACACAGGCTGTGGGATTGTCGGGGCACCCGAGTGCCTGCTTTTTAGCCCTACTGTGTGCTGGGCTGGAACCAGGGGAGGACTGGAAAGCATGCTAGCCAGCCCTGGTGCTCCAGCTGTCCATGGTGGCCCACAGCAGGGCCCTGAGAGGCCACCAGAACTGGGCCAGGCCCTGGTGGTGGTGAGCTGGGCTCCTCCTCATTGTAAATGAGAGGCCAGGGTGGAAGGAGCTGGATTGCCACACGGAAGTCCAGGAGGTAAACAGACAGGCATAGAACAGCCTTTGCTCCCAGGACGTCAGACCGTGGGGTTGGAGATGAGGATAGGGAGGGCAGGAGCCAGCTGTGCCACTGTCCCTGCAGTCTGGCTATGGCCTTTGCAAGTCCCCACCCTTGCCCACAGTGCTGGGAAGAGCACTCAGAGCAGAGGCTGGTGGGACCGGGCCGGTCCAGGGAGGGTAGGGATGGGCAAAGATGATAGAAACATCCAAGAACCAGACCCAGACCTGGCAACCTTCCGGCCTAGTGGGGACAGCAGCACACACCCAGGTGCAGGGACACTGAGGAGGCAGTGATTTACTGCAGAAGTAGGGAAGGAGGAGTCGGGCAGATGTTCTACAGGACAAATAAGAGCTCTTCATGGCAACAAGAGGGTCAGGACTTCCTGTGCCCAGGGAGAGGGGACAGAAAATCCACCACTTGTGGCCACAGCAGCAGGGCCGAGCAGCCACAGGGCCATCCTGACGCAGGGCCATCAGGGGCAGGGGGCTGGTGGCCACTTCCTAAGGAGGTTAGACTTCCTTCTGAGGGAAGCGAAGGATTTTGGGCCAGGCAGGGACAGAATCTGATCCGGGCTAGGGACTGGCGGGGGTTCCTAAAGGCAGAACCTGGCTCTGGGCATGCAGGTCCTGTGTGCAACTCCAGCGACTGGCCTAGAGGAGCGAGGAGAATGTGGGCTCCAGAGCCACGCAGGAGGGGGGCCTCTGAGGCAAGGCCGGGCGCTGGAGGTGGGAAGGAGAATGCCTTTTAGAGAGTCAATCACAATGGGAGTCAACCTCACAGAAAACGAAAACGCTGAGGCCTGGCTGGTGTAGCTCAGTGGTTGAGCATCGACCCCTCCTCAGTAAACCTGCACACACACAGCCTCAGGCTGAGATCCTGTCCCCAGGAACTCAGTCTAAGACAGCCAGTCATGACTGACCCCTTCAGGAAAGCGAAAGCTTTCCCGAGCCCCGTGTCCCCACCCCCAGGAGATCTCTGCCTCCTTCTCAGTTGCCAGAAGCCAGCCCTCACCACCAGCAGGATCATGGGAGCAACGAAGAGGCCTGGAATGGGTGTCAGGGGCCCTGCCTGCCACACACATTAATTTATCCCCCTGAGCGAATGCAAAAGTGGGACGAGAGCATGGCTCAGGGCTGGCTGACCTTCCTGGGGTGACATTCTGCGTGTTTTGATAAACTGGTTCCTATTTTCTGTTTCCTGTGCTTTGAAAACTTCTTAGGTTAAAGGTCAAAGCAAGGAAGAAAATGTGGAGAAACGCCGGGGGTGAGGTTTAAGGCCTTGACCTACGACCTGAGCACACAGCGTCTGGATGTGAAATTGGGATGGCTTCCCCTGGGAGGCAAGGATGTGGTGTCACTGAGCAGCTGGTGCAGGAGCAGGGCCTGGAGGGGAGGATGGGCAGAGCTGAGCAGCAGTAGATGGGCAGGGCTGGGGGAGACGGATGGGCAGGGGCTGCCTGCTGCTCCAGTCCCCTGGGCGATGCAGCCACGGGCTGTGGAGCAGGGGTGGGAGGTCAGTGGGACACTGTAAGGCCAACAGAAATCAGGGTGCGTCCTGGGTGGCCTGGTTACAATAAAGAGGCATCTAGGTGGGGCTTTGAGTCAGCCCAGTGCTTTGTCACCATGTCCAACATTCTCCTGCGATAAAACACACACCTGGGGCAGAGACAGGCTGAACTCCACAGAGATAAGTCCCAGCGCAGCGAGGACAAGGTCTACTAGGTCAGTAAGAGTTCCTGGGAGCTAAGCCTCTGCCCAGGTGGGCCAGCGTCACCATGGACATGCCACACCTTCCCCAGCTGTGAACTGCTGACAGGTGAACTACTGCTGTGCGCTGCGCAGATTTGGACAGAGGCAGAGACACAGCCTGCGGGATGGTGGCCGAGGGACAGGTGTGTGGGAGTCCTCTGGTATCCTAGAAAGGACCAGCTCCACCTGAAGCAGAATCTAGCTCTGCAGGTTTTGGGGGAAATCAGCAGTTTGGTGCTGCTTCTCCACCGCCCATCAAGCTGCAGAAGAGCCTGTAGTATGTGGTTCTCCCAGGTCAGAGTCCAGCCTCCTCTGAGACAGGCTCCATTTCAGATTCCAGACACGAAGGCCAGTGACAGGTCAGGGGTGGGGTGGGGGGAACCAAACATTCTGTCATTTGGGGCTTTTCCAGTCCTGTTCTGGCTGACCCCAGAGCTGTGGTCAGCAAATCGCAGCTCACATGCAGCTCTTTGGCTCCTTGAGTGTGGCTCTTCCACAAAATACCACGTGTGGGCATGCACATACAGTGCGATTGAAACTTCGTGGCCCATGCGCAGTAGTCGGTATTTTGTGGAAGAGCCACACTCAAGGGGCCAAAGAGCCGCATGTGGCTCGCAAGCAGAGGTTTGCCGAGCCGCAGTTTGCAGACCACTGCCCCAGAGGTATGATGTTTTTCTTATTTTTTTAATCATCACCTGAGGATATGTTTATTGATTTTAGAGAGAGGAGAGCGAGAGAAACATCGATGTGAGAAACTCAATTGGTTGCCTTCCGTATGTGCCTGGATAGGGAATCGAACCTGAAACCTTTTGGTGCACCAAATCATGCTCCAACCAACTGAGCCACTGGGCCAGGATGGTTGCTTGTTTTTGAAATATTAATGTTTTATTACTGTTTCATCTCTCTGAAAGATTGTAGCCCAGTTATTGGCCAAAGCAGAATTGCTGGCTGTCTGGGTCAAAACTGCAAATCTAACCCGCCAACTTGCTTGGCTGGTACAGGGGTGTGGCTGGTGAACCCTGACAATCACATGCTTGGTGCTCAGGACATGGTGTGGGATGCTTGGTCTGCAGTCGCCCAACACCCTGAGCCAAGGACTTGGGTGCAGGATGCTGGGAAGTTGGGGTGCAGATGGGGAAGTGAAGTTGAGATGAGCTTGTGCCCTGGCCCCTGGGCTGCTTTTCTGCTGGGGTGCCTTGGGGTCTTCCCTGCAAAGTCAGGGGCCTAGGGAGGGCCCTAGAAGTAAAGGAGACCATCCCCCAAGGTAGGAAGGGGGTGGAGAGCCTGGAACTGCGTCAGCTGCAGGTGAAGGGGTGGGGCAGGGCTTGGGGCTGGGCCCACAGGGTCTGCAGGGTGAGTGGGGGGCCTGCGGGGTGGTGGGAGAGAGGACAGCACCCCAGGAAGAAGAGCAGAAACAGAGGGCTGGCAAGGGGCCTGCTCCCCACTCAGGACCAGCCTATGCGCCCCCAGCTTTGCCTCAGCTGCGCGAGTTCGGCTCTGGGACTTGTGCCCAGACGGTCCTTACTGAGGTGGACATGCTGCCCAGGCCCTGGAGACAACGTGGCCTCGCACGCGGCTGGCCGGTGGGCGGGGCCCGAGAAACCTCCACAGGGGCTGTCAGGCTGTGACAGCGCGTTCCCAGCTTCTAGCGTCACCAAAGCGCCCACTCGGCATGTTTTACTGTAAAACACCTTTTATTTGGACGTGGCTACTCGGTAAATATTGAACAGTGCTCATCCCAGGCAGCTGCCAGGCAAGAAAGAGAGATAAATGGGGGCTTTTCGAGACAGCGGGGCAATTGGGAAGCCAGCAGTCAACGACAGGGAGGCCGGTTTCTCTTCGGTGACTCCCTGTCCCCCTTCTCCCAGGAGCAGAAGATAGGAACTGTGCGCCCTTAAATCAGCTAAGAGGAGTCCCAGGTGTGTGCGGTTATGGGCGATGCCGGAGCCGCGATGCCCGAGCCGAGAGGCCAGGAGACCCACCGGGGAGCCGAGGACGGTGCGGAGAAATCCCAGATGCACAGCCGTGTTTCTCAGGGAAAACCTTTACTTTGAAACCAAGCACCTCTTTTTGTGTTTCTGTGTGCACAACGCCAGCCTTCTCGTTGAGAATGGTCCCAAAGTCGGATGCCATGTGTCCAGCCGTGTGAGCCCCGCGCTGCAGGAGGCAGCGGAGTGGCCCGGGCTCCTCTCTGCTGGCACCACAGCGGGCACTTGAGGGGGGTGGGCACCCACGAAAGAGCACGTCCCTGGGCTGGGGTCCTTTCCCGGCCTCCTTAAATGCCCCGCAGAGCGTGAGAGGAGCCCAGGGGAGAGTCCTTGTACGTAACATCCTGCTTCCTTCCTTGAAGGTCTTTTGTGGGGGGCAAGGTGGCTTCTAGTTCTTGTTGGGTGGGGTCCTGCAGCCCACCCCCACCCCCACCCCCAGCTCTTACCGTATAACAATTTTGTAGAGTCACTCACTTCTTTTCCTGCAAATCTAGCCTCTAAATTGGATCCTGAAGCTGGGGAGGGAAGGAAGGGGGATGTAATGGAGTGGCAGTGCGGCTGGTCTTTGCTGCCGATCAGAGCAGAACCACAGGGCGGGAGAGGGTCTGCATCTAAGCGGAGATGTAATGTGGAGGCTTTGCTAGCACCATTTCAGCTTTAAGAAACTAAGACTGCACGTTCCCACACACCTGCCTGGGGACCCTAATTGCTGAGACAGGTCCCCAGCCAGGTGGATCCACCAGGTGACGCTGGTGGATCGGGATTCTCAGCGCTGAGGGCTTTGGAAGCTCGTTTTGTGGAGCCAGTTACTTTCCGAGGCAAAAGACAACACAGCCTGTTCACAGGACCCTCTTCCTGCCCAGCGTTGTCCAGGAGGCTATGCGGAGTGTGATTTCATCCTCCCGTCTGAAAAGACGGCCTGTTAGTCCCACTGACGTGTTGTTGGTCTGTGTGTCATCCAGATGGCGAATGCTGAAGCGACCTTTGGGAGCCATGGTCCACGCGTTACAGGAGCATTTCGCGCCGGGCAGGACTCCTGCCCTCAGTGGTAGTAGATGCTGAAGGCGTGGAGCACGTAGAGTAGGGTGGTGATGAAGGCAAAAAACTGGAAGGGGTGAAAGTGACTGTTATAGACGGACAGAGCCGGCTGCTGCCCATCCCTCCAAGGGGCCCTCAGGCCCTGGAGCCCAGCTAGCCACATGCCCTGACCCTGCTGTGCCCGCTGTCCGCCTGAGGACAGCAGCTACTGGCCGTGCTCCGTGCTCCTAGAACTGCCCACCACGGGGATCCAGAGGCCATATGCCTGGCATCCTGCTCCTGCCTCATTTGCAGACTGTGCATCCCTTCCTGCCATAAGGCAGCTTATCACCCTTCCTGCCCTGGGCCCTCTCTCTCCCACTGTCTTCCAGTCACAGTGTCTCCCTCTCTCATCCTCTGTCACATGTGTGCTCTGACCACTCCCACAGTTTCCCACGCCAGCCCAGACTCCCGTCCGAGAGCCTGCTGGTCACTCCTCATGGAAGTCCCAGAGACCCTTCAGCTCTCAATGGTCCAGACGGAGCCCCTGAGCTCTCCCCAGAAGCTGGACAAGCTGTGAGTGCCAGGACCCTCTTCCTGCCCAGCTCCACAAGCCAGACAATTGTGGCCACCCCGACTCCTCCCTCCCTTCCCCACCCACGCTGCACTGTCCCATGGCCCACTTCTCCCTCGTCTCACACCATCACCCCTCGCCAGGGCTTCTCTCTGCCTCGATTGCCCTTCTCTATGCCCACGCTGCTCTCTGCTGTGCCCAAGAGGGAAGCTTGACCCTGTTTCACCAGCATGAGATGAAACCGTGTGATGATCCCACTTTGCAGGGTAGAGTCCTTGCCCTTAGCACACTTTCCAGGCCTGGCCGACTACTCCAGCCTTTGCCCTGCTGTCCACTCACACTCTGTTCATTCATTCATTCATTCATTCATTCAACAAATATCTTTTGGGCACCTGTTAGATTTCAAAAACAACAGTGGCTATAACAATGAACATTTGAAAACTCCTATTCTCTTGGGGTGAAGGGGTCCTTGCCAAGGCCCTGAGCAGAGCATGTGTTGTGTTCAGGGGCAGTCAGGAGGCCCATGTAGCTGTAGCAGCTGAGGGCTAGGCTGTGAAGGGCCGGGGCCGTAGGTGGGGTGGGTGGCAGTTGAAGGAGGGGAAATAGCTCAATGAGAAGGGCAAAGACAGGCTGGAAAGGCAGCTGAATACCTGTGGCCACCCTAGTGGGTCATGGTGCTTGCCTGGCACCTCATTCTTATGCTGGGGCAGCACCTCACGCTGCACCCCTTGCCCACCTGATCTCTGTGGGAGCTCCCAGGGACACGGACTCCACGTTTCTGGCCACAGTGATGCCAAGGTGACTGAGACCCAGCTGGAGTCCTGTCTTGGAAGTTTCCCAGGTGAGGTGATAAAGGTGTCAGAGGAGGAATCTGTCAGCTGTGAGCTTGCTGCCACGTGAGGGCGCCATTCCCACACAGGGAGGAAGGAGGCGCAGTGCAGAGACCAGGAAGGGAGGCACAGGGGCCTGGAGTCTGGTCTGTTGAGCCTAAGGCAGGGGTGGGCAAACTTTTTGACTCGAGGGCCACAATGGGTTCTTAAACTGGACCGGAGGGCTGGAACAAAAGCATGGATGGAGTGTTTGTGTGAACTAATATAAATTCAAAGTAAACATCATTACATAAAAGGGTACGGTCTTTTTTTTTTTCAGTTTTATTCATTTCAAATGGGGCCGTAGTTTGCCCACGGCTGGCCTAAGGTCTGGGGTCCCCCTTGTCCCACCATTTGGCTGGGCTACCTAGCCTTGGGTCCCATCACTGAAATAAATGGGCGCCTGGCCAGTGCAGCCGTGCTGAGGGCCCTGGGCTCCACTCCACAGCAATGAGACCCCAAAGGCCCTGCAATCTGTGCTTTGGAAAAAAAATATTTGGACGGCAGTGAAGGGGATGCAAGAGGGCTGAGGGGGAAAAAACAGAAGGCGAGAGGTGACCCCTGAACTTGGGCCTGGGGCACCACGAGCTTGGGCACACGTGTACACACACACACACACACACACACACACACACACCCCTCTCCTCCTGTCCCCAGGGCTCCATCAGCCCGAGGGCTCAGGTGGGCTGTTCTGCAGGAGGCAGAGCCAAAGAGCCAAGCCCAAGGGACCCCTCCCCATGGCGGTCAGGCCCAGCACCCACCGTGGCCGCGGTGTTTGTCATGTAGTTGCCCAGGTCCTCGCTCTCAGAGACGATGGTGGCGTGGGCCTGCAGGACAGCCGCGCTCATGTACAGGATGCCGGTGGTCCCGTGGTACAGGCTGTCCTGGAAGGGAAGAGGGAGGCCACATCACCCGGGCACTCAGTCAGTGAGCGCTTTCCTCCCACGACACAGCTGGGAGGAGTGAGAAAGAGACAGGCCTGTTCCCTACTTCCTGCCTTGTTTTTGGGGGGTTTTGTTTGCAGTGTTTCTAATGAAATATCTATGTAGTGAGCAATAGTGGATTAATAAACAGCAGTAATAATATCAATACTAATTGAGAGCTTATTCTGTGCCAAGTTCTAGGCCAAGCCCTTTTCTCATTTATCTCATTTAATCTGATCAGTGATGAGGTAAGTTGTTCAACATAGAAAAAAATTAATGGTTATCAAGATGATGTGAAAACATGAAAAAATGATGTAATATTAAACGAAAGTTTTGACACCCAAAATCATTAGTTCAGTGTGATTAACATATATACGCATTTCACACAAAATTTGTGGGGAATCAGAAGAACGAACCCAGTGATTGTGACAAGACCTCGAGATTGGGGTGACCTTTTCCTGCTGGCATTTCCTTCGATGTTGCTCCACTGATTTTGCCCAAATGAGATTTAGAGGGAAATGTGTCAGTACAGGCAACCCTTGACCAACACGGATTTGAACTGTGCTGGTCCATTTAAACGTGCATTTTTTTCAATAAATACTGTAAATGTATTTTCTCTTCCTTATGACCTTCTTAATAACATTTTCTTTTCTCTATCTTTCTTTATTATAAGAATACAGTATATAACACATTAGCATATAACACATCGACTACTTGTGTTATTGGTTAGGCCTCAAGTCAACAATAGGCTTTTAGTAACTACATTTTGGGGGAGTCAAAAGTTACAAGTAGATTTTCAACTGTGTAGCCGGTCGCCCCCTAACCCCATGCTGTTTAAGGGTCAACTGCACACAGAATGTGCATGTTCCTCATAAGGAAGGCACAGCAGGGAATGCAATGAGATTGACTCCGGCAGGGCAGCACTCTTGTTCCCATTTCAGAGCAAACACATTCACATAAAAAGTCTTGGTCATGGGGGCCCAGCCCAGGAAAGGTCTCTGGTTCCCCCTCTGCACCCAGGAGGCCCGCTGTCCCCACAACACCCAGGACACTAGTCTGGGGCAGTTCAGGGCCCTAATCCCCTCACTAGTTCTTACCAGGACTCTCCAGGACTCGTATCTCTTGTAAAATCCAAACAAGTAAGACAACAGGAACATGAGGGAGATGAGGAACGAGGTCAGCGAGACGTACAACACCCATCCTTGCAGCAGCGGGTTTGCCACGTGGGTGGCGGCCACCAGGACCCAGACCCAGAACCCAAACACCTGTAAGAGAAAACCATTGAAGGAGAGGTCATTTGCGTGTGTGGGGTGCGTCTTCCTTTGTGAGGTCTCTCTGCTCCTCTGCCTCTGGTTAAAAGCTCTTCAGGTGAAGTTAGGAGGGAATTGAGGGAATGGGAAGGAAGGCTGGTGCCCTAAGTCACAGTAAATTTTATTAGAAAATCCAAGGGGTTAACACAGAGGCTGCCCACAGAAGGACTTCGCTGAATTTGGCCTGTGGGTGTGTCTTCTTGGTTCAAACAGTGTTGGCATATACAGTTTTTTAAATGTGTCTGAATAAGTGGCCAACATTTAGAATAAGACATTTCACATGAGAAATCCAGATTTCAGACATTTCTTGAGAAATCTATAGTTCTGGCTACAGTGAACACATCCCAGGCAAGAGTAGGCTGAAATGAGTTGTGACTATCTCTTTATTTATTTTTATTTTTTTTAAAATATATTTTATTGACTTTTTTACAGAGAGAATGGAGAGGGATTGAGAGTTAGAAACATCAATCAGCTGCCTCCTGCACACTTCCTACTGGGGTTGTGCCCACAACCAAGGTCCATGCCCTTGACCGGAATAGAACCTGGGACCCTTGAGTCCGCAGGCTGACGCTCTATCCACTGAGCCAAACTGGTTAGGGCTGTGACTATCTCTTTAAAAAGGACCCGGAGTCCCCAGTGGACCACAACCCTCTCCCCTGTAACCCCATGCCATTGTGTAGCACATTCTGTCGCTCACTTTCACGTGGAATAGTACTCTCCTACTCCTGGCTCCTTTCACCCACGGACAGTGCCTGCCTGGCCCTGTGGGAACTTGATTTGGTGCAACCCCCCACCCCCAAGTTAGAGTATCTGATGCCCTGCTAGGCAATACAGTTCCAGTTTAATCACCTCTCAACTCTGTCCAGTCATTTATTACCCTCTTGGTGGAGAAACCAAACCTTCCTCCTGTTTTCTCTGGGCTCTGCTTTTTTTTTGTTTGCTTTGGGGCTGGGCTTGCACTCGTGTTGAGCCCAGAGGAAGAACTATATGTCCACTAGCTGCATATCCAGTTAGAGGCCTGGAGGAGAGGGTAGGCATGAGCTCCAAGTGGCTTTTTAAAAAATTGAATAGAGAGAAAGAGAGAGAGAGAGGTTGATTTGTTGTTCCACTTATTTATGCCTCTTATATGTGCTCTCACCAGGGATCAAACCTTCACTCTTGCTGTCTTGGACAATGCTCTATCCAACTGAGCTACTTGCCCAAGGTCTCCAAGTGGTTTTATTGTTTGTTTGTATCTGACTGTCTGAGTAACTCTTCTTCATGGGGCCTCCTTAGGATGTCCTTGTGAGCCTCCTCATTCTCCTTCTCGTCACTCAAGTTAAATCTGTTCTTAGAAGGACCTCATAGGCTGGATCCCAGGAACCCACAGCCGGCCCACTTCTCTCTGTGGCCTTCAGCCCCACACATCCATCCACTTGCCTACGGGATGTCTCTGCTCTCTGCAGGGACCAAACCTGCACTTGTATGATATTGAAAGTGAGTTCCTCATTACATTTTTTACCCAGACATCTCACTTGCATCACCCCAGTCCTGGCCCTATTTCTCAAGCTCCTCAAATCCAACAGGTACAAAATCTGACTCATTGCCACTCCTCAATTCCTCCAGGACCCACCCTCCCAAGCACCTCCTGAGAATGACTTTCCTGAGGAAGAAAGAGCTACGGGGTTGGGAATGGGTGTATAGAGGCCTCCAAAGATAATGATAGTGTTCCATTGCTCGCACTGCACAGTAAGCACAAAGGAGTTTATCTTTTATTAAGTAATGAAATAGTTTTGAAAAAGAAGAACCTGTTGGATTGTGGCCACTGGAAATTTTGAGTGATTGGTGGTGGAGGGAGCCAAGGATGTCTCCTGGGTTTGTAGTTTGGAGAAATCATACTACCAAATTTTAAACTTTCTAGAGAGTCACTGTAATCAAGAGTTGACATGCCGAAACTGGTTTGGCTCAGTGGATAGAGCATCGGCCTGCAGACTGAGAGGTCCCAGGTTCGATTCCGGTCAAGGGCATGTACCTGGGTTGCGGGCATATCCCCAGTAGGAGATGTGCAGGAGGCAGCTGATCGATGATTCTCTCTCATCGATGTTTCTAACTCTCTATCTCTCTCCCTTCCTCTCTGTAAAAAATCAATAAAATATATTAAAAAAAAAAAAGAGTTGACAGTGCAAGTGACTCACATTTCTGCCCATTTCAGGAGACAGCTCACCCCTTCCCTAGTTCCATTGCCTTTCCACATAAAGTTTAGAATCAGCATGTCAATATCTGAATACCTATCTGCTGGGATTTTGATTGTGTTATATCTAGAGATCCATTTGGAGAGAACTGACATCTTTTCTATGTTGAGTCTTCCAGTCCATGAACATGGTACACCTCTCCAATTATTAAGATGCTCTTTGAATTTTTTTTTAAAATCAATGTTTTGCCGAAACCGGTTTGGCTCAGTGGATAGAGCGTCGGCCTGCGGACTGAGAGGTCCCAGGTTCGATTCCGGTCAAGGGCATGTACCTGGGTTGCGGGCATATCCCCAGTAGGAGATGTGCAGGAGGCAGCTGGTTGATGTTTCTCTCTCATCGATGTTTCTGGCTCTCTATCTCTCTCCCTTCCTCTCTGTAAAAAATCAATAAAATATATTTAAAAAAAAATAAAATCAATGTTTTGTAGGTTGTGGCATTATAGATGCTGTGCACATTTCCTTATACTTATGCCTTAATATTTGATTTTGGCGGAGCTACTGTAAATAGTATTGCTTAAAATTAAAAAAAATTTTCCCCCAATTATTCGTTGCTAGTGGTTAGAAACAGGATTGATTTTGTGTGTTGACAGTGTATCCTGAAACTTGCTGAACTCACTTATTAGTTCAAGGAGGGTTTCTCAGTTCCTCCTCCTCCTCCTCCTCCTCCTTCTCCTCCTCCCCTTCCCCTTCCCCTTCCCCTTCCCCTTCCCCTTTTCTGGGAAGCAGAGCTGCCCAGGCAGCGTGTTGGTGATCCTCTCCTTCCCCAGGGCCTGGGACTCAGAAGTGGGCTGATGCTCTGTTTCATTTTCTCTCCCCTTTCATGTGCCATACATTTCTTGGTTGGAGTCTTGATGCTCTCCTAGCACTTCTTCAGCTGCTTGAACCCCCTGAGTGGCATGGTGGCTGAGAGTTGTATTCTTGAGTAAGTGCCTGCCAGGTACTTTGCTTGAGTGCAATACTCTGCACATCACTTTTCTTACGTTCCAGCACACACCTGCGAGTCAGGGCTGCCTGGTCCTGAGGAGGATGTGAGGAGGGATGTGTGAAGGGCCCTGAACTGGGCCTTTGTCTGTCAATCCAGTGACAGGCATTGCTGATGCTGCAGGGAGGTGCCAGGTCTCCGCTTTAGGCACCTAGCAAGTGTCCTGCCGCCACACCATGGGAAGTGCATAGGAATGCCTCACATGCCAACACCCAAACAGCACTGGCTCTTAACGGGGATGACAGTAAGGATTTAGTGACTACACTGGAGCCTGCAATATATTAGACTCACATTAGGCCCGAGGCAGAGAATGGTCTGTGCCATTCACTGTTGAACTCTGTGTGGCCAGCTCAGGTTCTGGAACAAAGTAGGTGGGGAGGGGGTCAGAGAACATTGTGTGCTGAATGAATCACGTAATGCCACTACCACTTCACATTTACCAGGCTTTACAGTTTGTGAAATGCATCCACTCAGATGTCCTCATTAGGTCTGTATGGCAATTCAACTCCCTTGGAAACTTTCTAAGACCCGAGAGCTGCCACTTGATATCTTCCGCCACTTACTGCCAGCTCACCTGTGCCAGGCTGAGGCAGGCAGAGGTGCCTCGGCCCCACCATGCCTGTCAGTGCCTGTCTCCTCCTGCCGGCAGAGGTGCCCTGACCCAACACTGCCAGGCACACATCACTCACAGGTCTGCACTTAATTCTCAGCACAGTCTGTGCCCTGGAGGGACTGTGCTGGGTGGACTGAGGCCCGAGGTCACACAGGACTCGAGGCAGGACACCTCAGGTCCTGCACACGATCAGATTTCACACCTGGCCTCTGAGCATTTGGGCACCTACTCGGATTGCATGGGAATTTTCTGAAAGGGCTTCAGGGTTGCACAATAAACGAGTTGCTCAGGAATGCTATTTACTTTGATTTCCACACCCTCCACCTTCTGAACAGTAGAAAGGACCAGGGCCAACGACAAGCCCCAGGGAGTGAAGCCCAGGGCAGTGGCAACTCATTTCTGTGTCAAGCAGTCTGCGTTGCTTCTTTACAGGTAAGGTAACGTTGAGTGTTTGTCTTCCCAGCTTTTAAAAAAATCTCATATTTAGTTTTCCAGATTTTCTTGGCAGCCTCAACTGCTCTCTCATTTTAACCCTCATTTTGTATTTCCCAAGAGCAGGAGACATACTTAGATGTCTGGGGCTGGGGCTCCATGTGGGAGAATGCTGCATTATCACTGGTGTGGTGATCAAGTATATTTCAAGTCCAATGTAGGCAGAGTCTGTTTCCTATGAACATACACAGAATGCTCATCTATGCCTTTTCCAAAGGCTGAGCTGACACTTGATGGAATCTCTTCAGGGAGAATGGAGCTTAAAATAAGTCCGGTCCCTTGTTTCCCTCTAGAGCAGCGGTTCTCAACCTGTGGGTCGCGACCCCTTTGGGGGCCGAATGACCCTTTCACAAGGGTCGCCTAAGACCATCGGAAAACACATGTATAATTACATAGTGTTTTTGTAATTAATCACTATGCTTTAATTATGTTCAATTTGTAGCAATGAAATTGGGGGTCACCACAACATGAGGAACTGTATTAAAGGGTTGCGGCATTAGGAAGGTTGAGAACCACTGCTCTAGAGCCTAAAGCAGCTCCCTCGCATTTAGGTCGCTGGGTGAAGAGCCCTCACACGTGTCAGCACTAGCCTAATGGCCCCTAGTCAGGGTCTGGGGAGAAATAGCTGATTCCAGATC